TTTTCCAACTTGAGAATTTACTATATTGCATTGAAAATAAAACAATGGTCACAGCTCATCCTGTTAAAAAATTTGTCAAAAAAACAAAAAAATGGAGCACGTTACAAATTGCCATTTTAATGGATTTGATATTAGCTGCAAAGTCATTAAATGATAATATCAAAATTATTGAATATAGTATTTTTTTATTAAAAATATTTTATAATGAATTATATTCAACCGAACAAAAAAAAATATTTTTTGATTTAAAATTGGCATCTTTAGGAATACCACCACAGACAAGAATCAACATGCACGGCTTCCCACAGATTATTTCCATTGATTTGGTATATCCGATGAAGGATGATATTCCAATTGAAATTGAAAGCAACGAATCCGAAAAGATTTTTATCTTTAATCCAGAAGAAAAAAAAAAAAAAAATTTACTGTTAGCAAAATTAATAAACACAAGAGTGTGTGGGGAGTTGATTAATTTTAAGGTTACCATTGAAAATCCTTTTCATTTTGATATAATAATTGAAAAAATTACTTTAAAAACTGATAAAAAGGCTGTTCAATCTTTCCCAATACAAGTCAACGTTCCTGCATTATCTAAAAAGAAAGACATCATTTTATCGATTAAGGTGTTGGAACCACAGAAGCAATTATCAATAATCGGCTGTGAAATTGAATTTTTAAATTTAATTTTTGTACATCCTTTCAAGAAAACCATTACAGTTGTTAAAGAACTCCCTCGTTTGGGCGTCACTGTTGTAAATTCAAATAAATTAAATTTATTAGAGGGGCAATTTTATGAAAGCGGCTTAGTATTACAAAATATCAGCTCACAAGTCATTTCTAGAATTTTTATTCAAAAGACAATTGTTCGTGATAAATTGCACAAATACCCAGTAAATGGGCATTTTGAAAAATATTACTCAAGGCCAATTATTGACTGGAAAAAAGAAATTATCAAAAAAAATCTTCCATTAAAACCTGGTGAAAATTTTTATCTTCCTCTTTTATTTTGTGCTCGGAAATTTATAGATAAAGTTATTTTATCAATAAGGTACGAAGGGAAAATTGAAAATAATAAGAATGATGACCATGGCGGTGGTAGTAATAATAAGGTGGCGAATGAGGAGGAAAAGGTGGAGGGGGTGAAAGAGGAGGTGAAGGAGGAGGTGAAGGAGGAGGTGAAGGAGGGGGTGAATGAGGAGGCGAAGGATGGGGTGAAGGTGAATGAGGAGGAGAAGGAGAAAGAGCAACAGTATTATCGTTCTTTTGAAATTCCTTTTGAATTGAAAATTAGAGAAGGAATATCTATTAAAAATTTTAATTTTATTAAACCTGATTTTTCAATTTTTAGTAATAAAAAAAAAAAAAAAAATTCAGAAATACCCTCAATGCTAATGTCATTAGAATTAAAAAATCACAACAATAATGTTTTTACAATAAATTGTAGAGTGTTAAATAATATTATAACCCAATTATTAAATAAGCAATCTAGACATGGTGTTGATGGTGATGGTGATGGTGATGAGATTAATCTTATTAATTACAATGAGAAGAATGAGAATAGTCACAGAAATGGAAACGAAAACGAAAACGAAAATGAAAATGATCATAATTTTTTGAATAAAAACAAAATATTAAATTATCAAAAAACTGAATTTCATCAAAAAATCATTTTGGAGCCTTATTCAGAAAAAAGAATAATTGTTCCAATCCCAAGGTTCAATATACCAAATACCAACATTTCTGGAATATCAACAGATGTGCTAATTGAGAATTATATGCAAATTAACCATGTTAGACCAAATAAAGAACAAATTATTGGAATGTTTAAAAAAACGAATTTGAAATGTATTTTAATGAAAACCGTTGCAATTAATTGGATTTCTGATTTAAAACATTTTGGACAAGTTCCTTTATATTCTTTAAAAAATTTTAACACAATAATTAATAAAATCGATTCGCATTCCATAATTAGCACCATTATTATCCCAAAAAATAAAAGTTTGCAATTAAATAAATTTGAACAAATCAAAATTAATCTGAAAAATGTTACAAACATATTGATCAAAATAAATTTTTCTTTGGAAATCCGGTTAGGTGGGAAAAATTGTATAAAAAATATTTTTGAAAGCGATATAAACACAGATTATTTGGAAAATACCGAAAAGAATATATTGTGGGTTGGATCATTAAAAGAAAACCAAATTACAATTCCACCTTCGGCCTCCTATCACCATTCTGCTTTTATTTCGTTTGTTAAGAGAGGTAGATATTTTTTGAATGTTAAAGTTACATATCCAGAAAAAAAAATATCTTATAATTCTAGAATCCCCACAATAATCGAAATTAAATAATATGCCCATTCCTTTATTTGATTGCTTTTATTTATATTAATATTATAAATTTAATATTTTTTTATTATTTTAGTTTATCAAAATAAATTGAATCGTTTTTTTTTTTTTTTTTTTTGTTAGTTTTTTAGAATTATACACTTTTGAAATGTTTTTGAGTTTAATTAAAGAATTTTCCCAAATTTTGATGTTTGGATTTTGAAATACTGTTTGAATATAAACTTGATAGGTTTTTGGAAAATTGAATGAAAAATCTGTTCAATTTATTTTTTAATAAACTGCCTTGTATTTTCAATGTATTCCCAAGCTATTTTTCAAAAATATTGTTTTACTTGATAATGTTAATGGAAGTTGTTTTGAGGGTTTTATACCATATTCTTATCACAAAAAAATTTTTGAATTTTTCGATCAAAATCATTTTTTCTAATTTTTTCAGTTTTTTTGTTTTGCTTTTTCAAATTTTTATGTTTTTCTTTTTTTTTTCAAAAATTTTACTTTTTCTTCTTATTTCAATTTCTTGTTATTTCTTTTCCTTTTCCTTTTTCTTTTTCTTTTTTTTACGATTTCTTTTTTTTTTGATTATTTTTTTTTTGTATTTTTCGTTTTTTTGCTAAAGATCATGTGTAAAAATAAAAAAAAGTTCTTCCGAAATACCAATAAACATTAGAAAATTTCGACTATCTAATTTCTTTTAAATTGAATTTAAAAATTAGCAAAAAATCTTCTTGTTAAGCTTTTTGATGTTGAAAGTTCAGTAATAAAAAATTATGTAATACACTTTTCAAAAAGGATAACTCACTTTTTTTTTAGTTTTTGATTTTAATTTTATTTTATTTTTGAAATATCAGGTTTTTAAATAATCACAAAAATTTAAAAATCAATTATGAATCATATTTAATAATTAGTTGTCTTTAATGTCTAAGAATATTTATTTTTTTCAATTTAGTATTTCAGGAGAGTTTCAAAATTTGGAATATAGAGTTTAGTTTGGACGAATTTATATTTTTTTTCGTTTTTTTCTTTCGGTTTGCTATTAATTTTTAAAATGTGTTAAGATTGAAATCCAATATAAAGTAACTTAATGGAATGTCCCTTATTATACACTGATTTAATTATTAAATCAAATCTAACCTATTTTAATTAAGTATTTTCTTTTTTTGTTGTATATATATTCTTTTCTAAATAATCATTTTTTGTCAAAATAATCATTGATTAAATCTGATATTTCTGATTTTGGTTCAAAAAATTTTCTTCCTAATTGTTTTAATACGTCAGTTTCACTTTTAAGTCACAATCTTTCAACGAAATTTAAGGCACCATAAAAATCTCAAATTAGGGCACAATATTCAGATTCTAGTAAAATAAATTGTAAAAAAAAATATTACAAATTTTGTGCCTTAATTTGAGATTTTTTTGTGCCTTAAATTTGGTTGAAAGTTAGTGCCTTAAAAGTGGAACTGACTATATATATATATATATATATATATATAAGAACAAACAATTCTTTAATAATCCAAATGATTGAATCCCTATTTGAAAGATATTTATCAAATATAAAATACTTTTAAAATCTAATAAAATGACCTTCTAGCTGTGAAGAAAAAAGTTTTACAATTTTTTTACTATTAAATTTAAAAAAAATAAAAATAGGAAATGGAACATGTATATTTTATCTTTTCTATTATTAGAATAATATGAACTTCCGTATCCATACTATGAAATTGAAGCTTTCTTCAATCATACCAATATAAAGAATTATTCAAATTATACCGAATTATCATTTTTATTCGGTATAACTTATTATTGAAAAAAAATTTGATTTTGATGAGATTATCCATCAAATTGACAACTAGAAAATAAAATTAAGGGTTTAAGGTTACTATATATTTCTCTATAATCAAAATATGTTGTAATTTAGTGAAAATGATTTTGTTGCACCAGGTCCCAAATAGCTCTAAAAAAACTATTATATTATATTATGGTACATTTTTACTAATAAGATCACTATTACAAATTTTCATTTTACAAATTCTAAAATTTTTTTTAATTCCTTTTCCAAATCTAAAAATAAAAACTCAAAATAGTATTACAGTATTTAATAATTCGTCTTTAGAACTTCCAAAAGTAACTATTTTTTCAATTTTTTAATTTCAAAGATTAACTACAATAAGGTTCATCAAAAAATCCACAAAGACTGATTAGTTTTTTTTTCCTTTTTATAAATCTAATTGTAACATCAATATCTTTCTAATATTTGCAAAATAATTTGTCAAAAGAATCTATTCGTTAATTATTCAATTTTTTAAAATAATCGAATTTTTTTAGCTATTAATCTACATTTCGCCATAATTTTTTCGGAAAGATATTGTGTAACTTAGTAGTCTGAAAGTTGAGAATTGAACCTTTAAATGTATGGCAATAAGAAAATTTTATTCTGAAATTATTGGATTTTTTTAATAATACGAAGATCATTGTACAATGATAAGATCAACAAACATTACTCCTTGACTAATCGATTTTTTAGAGACATTTGAAACCGTGTTGCAATAATGTGATTAATACCTATTACTTCATACTTTGATCTTAAGTTTCTCAGTGATAGACCCTAATGACTTGTAAAAAAAATTTATTTTATTTAATAAAAAAATTGTA